CCATCCATACTGTACGTACATTTTACGGGTTCAAGTCAATCGTGAAGACGGGTAAATTTTGAAATCGTGGTTCACGGCTTTTAACGTTCCAGTTACTTAATATCGGTTACAACTTCATCGTGTGCGGATGAGGTAGTTTTCGACATACCGTACCGTATTCAGGAAAGTCTATGGAAGTCGCTATATACAGTTGAATATTTGATCACGATTGAATCGAGTGGTTTAAGAGTTGTGGGTTTTCATGTCTGGACGTTCTGCACTGTCCTTTACCTGTATTATTTTGTAATTTAACGAGAAAGGCTGATCGATCGCGTGCAATACTATGATTTTACCCCGTTATTCCGTCTTTTGTCGATCCTGATGCATGCTATGTTTTCTGATGATTCCCTCGAAATTGAGACGTGAACAATTTTCCATGGTGTTGGACGAGTGTTGGAAGAGATCTGGGGGGATTTGTTCTATCAATTGGTTGAAAGATCATTCCGATTCGAGGGAAACACGTTCAATTATACCGCATCATTCGCTTCGATAGAATCAGCGAGGTCTCTTTGACACGAACTTCCCGTCCGTCCTCGGAAAGATCTGCCATTCCGACAATTCTCTCAGATTTCCCTTGATTTTGTTCTCTAGATCTGGTAAATTGTCTCTACGAAAATCACTTTTTCTACTGAGTGCGAATTCCAGTGTTGGTTCGTGTCGTTGAAAGATATTTGCGTCCTCATGCTCACAAGGAACTAAGATTTGCAGTGATTTAGATCTGGCTGTAACTTGAAAATCCTCGTGATATCTCGAATATATTTCTATATCCGTTTGCTGTTTTGTTGTGCGAGGAACTTGATGAATTGTGCGTTAAATTCCTGGGCACTGCAGTGATATTCACTTTCATTTCCAAAGCATCGAAAACCAATCAAAACTGAAAAAAAAAGCAAGTACGGTACATCTGAAGTTTTTTTTTCGTGTGTCTTCATTTCTGATGTAACCAATGAAGTAATGAGAAAGTACTGTATCTGGACGAAGAAAACACATTTCAGGGTTCTGGGCCCAATCAAATTAATTTCGATAACCACGAACGGTCTTACGGGATACCGATACGTTCGAAATTTTATGTAAATGTGTTTTTGCGGTCCAGACATTTTTTGGATGGATTTATGTGAGCTTTGCCATTGATAGAGATAGAAAATATTTTTGAGGCATCGTCGTTGTGTCAATGTTTAATGGATTTCGGGGTCTTCCAACCATTCGTTCGGCTGTGATTTTCTGACGATTTTTGCCGTTGCTGTGTGGAATTTTTTGATATGGTATATGTTCTTGTTCCGTCCCGTGTGTGCGTTATGCAAAATGTTATCCATTCGTGAGATCGGCGAATTCGTCCAAGGTATCGTTGAATGATCAAAATTTAGGGGGTTTTGCATAGGTTCTCGAAGTGCCTTCAAGGAACAACTGATACATTCGGCGCGTTTTTATCGAAAAAAACAATTTTGACTCAAAATGCGGTATATCTTCCTTCTTTTTGGTGCTCTGGAGAGCCCTTCTTCTCGTGCATTTGGTTGATTTGTTGTCGCCGCTCTGAACGCCTTTCTTCGTGGTTTTCATGATGGGATAAAGAGTGAGCCTTAACCCAAAAACTACACTTAACACCCAAATTAGAAAAAGTACACTGGTTCGCCCTCGCAACTTATTTAGTCCATCAAAGAAAAATAGCTAAACGGCTTGACAACGACACTGAGTAATCGTTTTTTTTTTCAGAATATGTTTTGCTCAATTTTCATTTTGACAAAAGAAAAGTTTCTTGCAGGTTTTTTTATTGAGGTTACATTTTCCAAAAGAAAAAAATTGCGGCCTCTACGACCGTAAATTTGGCCATACGAAGATATTCTGCATCCGATTTTTTTTTTCCTGGGCATTTTGTCGATCGCGTCCTTTCAAAATTTGGTGAAATACTGTACTGTACTGTATATTGAAAGCTGTTGCTGCGACTATTTCTGTGTTCCGAATGCACGTACTGCACTTCCTTCGGTTTGGCCGGGAATGCATTATTTGCAGCGAGCAAATGAAAATAATACCCGACTCTATGTACAGTACCAGGGTGAAACGTTGACCTGGGACTGGTTGATTTTTGTGCAAACCGCGCGCGCTGCACCGGCTGTGGGTTCCGTGCATTCCCGAACGTTTCCCACTCCGTCGGGGTTTTCGGATACGTGCGACGATGCTATGTCGATCTCGTGTTGGCACATACTTGCGAATACTGGGCCTGGGCCCTGGTTGACGCATGCGTTTGAGGACGCGACCCGAGCCGGGTCGGGTTGTTGCACCACACCGCGATGGCTGGAAAACTCTCGGAGGGGGGCTCACTGCGAAGTTTTGGACACATTTTTCGTGTAACTGATAGAGGTTTAGTCCATAATTTTTGTTCGCAGCTTCTGAAATTTGTATGCTAGGTATTTCTTCAAAGCAGAGGTTTTCAATTGGTTCGCCGAGGGGTTTGTTGTCAGAAATCTTGTATTCTTCGATATCCAATGATATCAAGAAATAGGACCCGTGAAGTAGAAACGAGAGACTTTTCTGATTCAATATGTATAATAAATACGAAAATTGTTCAGGGTATAAAAAAAAGTCCTGGATAATATGTACATTATTATAAAAATTGTGCTGCGTCCTTGTATTCGATTCAAGAAGACAATAAACGTGTTGTGTGTTTTAGACTGATTTGTTAGGATCCGCGAAATTGAGTCCGAAGAAATGCAAAATTCGCGTTGTGCTGAATAACTTTTAGCTATGTAAAATGCATTTGTTGTGCCGCATAGGTTTGTTAGTGTATTCGTTGAATTGAGCTTCTGACAAAAAAGGAATGTACTGTTTGAGGAAATAAATCTTGCGTTTCAATGGGAAATGTAAAGTATTCAAGCATGAAAAATATGACATGAAACAACTCACCGTCAAGAAGCGTCTTCCAGTGAGTTGCTGTGACAATCAAGAGCAAAATTGCTAGCCAAATTCCTTGAATGTCATGCATGTCACGCAAATTTGCAATACACAGCGTAGCATTGAGATCAGCGCGAGTACGGAAGAGTGACATTTTGCAGTGACAAAAATTTGCACGGAATCAACCTTGAATTGGAATGAAATACCGTATAATTATTTAGCCGATGAGGGTTCCTAGTATGGAACTCCCATTGGAACGGTTCTCTGTTATACCTTTATTTATTTATTTTTTAGATAAACTAAACGCGTTCGTTGTGGGAGGCAGAAATGTTTTTCATTGTAAGCATTCTAAATTCTAACGAGAAGAGACGCGAAAATACTTCCTCATACTTTCGTTGTTCCTCAGATGAAAGTTCTTGAACAATTCTGTAAGAATCCAATTCCACTTGCAGCAATGCTTCACGCCAAGGTGTGTAAACTGCCAGAGATTCAGATACCGGAAGGAAGTTGGGGGAAAGACCTAGGGGGAAAAGCCTCACTTCTCTTGTTTACTGGAAGGGGGTGTGTGGGAAAACGGGGGTGAAGCCAGAGCGGTGCAGGTTCAAGTTCTTCCTTTTTTTCTTTTCTTCGTTACTACCCCGCTATCGCACTTGCCATGCGCCATAAGCTTGACCGGATGTGCCCTCCCTCCATAGCTCGCTGCTAAACCATGTCTTCCACTGGCACGTTCCCACGCTTGTCCGTCGAGTCGGGCGAAAATCTCTTCTCAGTTCCAGTTTCGAACTTTCGTGGCGAACTTCCTCTTGTCCGTGATATATTTTAGGGTGCCGCTTTTGTATGGCAAATGGATTATTGTCTTGAATCTGGTCTAGATGCGGGGTTGAGAAAGTTTTAGTGCAGCAAAGTTCAGACATCCTGCTTGATATTCTCGGTACTCTGTGTGTGATATATTTAATTCAAGTCTTCAGATGGCCAGGAATGACTGGTGCATTTTTTAGGAGGGCTCTTCCTCCACAAAGGAATTCAAGGCAACAGAAGAAACTCGTCGTAGAGAGCCCCTATGAGACCAAAATTCGTGATACAGTACAGAGATATCGTTTTAGACAATATAGTTCTAGACAGAGTCCAACTGTATTTGTTTTGCCTCTCTTCGATCTCAATGGCAATGTTACTTATCGAGATCAAAATGAGGCAAAACAAAAGAATGCAGGTGGACTCTCTCTCTTTACACCTGACTTGTCCACAACGATTTTCTCTGTACGTGTGTAATGAATTTTGGTCCCGTGCGGTTCTCTCTTTATGTTCGAAGCGAGTTTTTTCTGGTCCTTTGAAGTTCGTTGTAGAGTGTCCACCTGTATTAGTGTAAGAAAGAGAGGCATTTCCTGGGACTAATGCAAGTTGGATAAAGTTTGAGCCACGTCTTGGGTGGCTCAAATGCGAAACGTGTTCGAAATTTGGGGTTTACCTCGTTTGTCGGAAAGATGGGATGTCGGAATTTGTATGCTTACATTTTATTCTGATTCTTGATCATTGCTTGGAGAAATACTTGGTAAATTGATGTACCAGATATGCTATTCATTAGAGATACATTTCCCGTCGTGAATTCAGGAGTAACGGTAGTGGAAAATTTTCCCAAAACCATGCGCAGATGGAAGAAATGTATATTATATCAGAATAAATGTTGGCAATATTTATATGAAGGAAAAAACCAGTTACTGTAATTAATCCCACCGATTGTTTGAATTTTTGAACTGTCGGCAGATTCCTCCGGGAGCTTTTAAAACATAATTTCAAAGATAAATACTGTATGGAAGAACAAATGAAGAACTACGGTATTAAATGCTCTACTGCATCGTTCATTGGGGGATTTTTTAGATAACTTACTAAAGCGGCTACGTGTATTTCCCAGTTGAGTTCGCGTTCGTGTTTGAGATCCAAGACTACTTCGCTGATTGCCCTTCAGCATAATTATGCACTATGTTGCTTTTGATACCGATGACAGGCGCTGGTCAACGAGGTTTGACACCTCGGGGGTGACGTCAGAAGCCCGTCGTTCCAGAGATAACAACCGCAGCCCGAAGTCGGCATGGCTGCCGCCTTTGCCATCCTCACTCAGGTTCGAAACATTCCCGGATGTTGCATTCAACGATTTCTTCGATTCATTCTCTGTCCGTGTTATCAGAGGATTTTTTTTTTCAACGCATAACGAACGAGATTGGGATTCGAGCAGTAAGAGCAAAGGTTATGAAGTGATTTCCCAGATGAAGGGAGGCCCACACAACGAAAAGTATGTCTAACGAAATTATTTGTGGGGAAAAACATGGCTCCCCGTACTAAATTTTTTGCTCAAAAAACTGAAGTTGTGAACTGAAACACCAGAACTTATAAAAAAACTCAAAAAAGGGAGAAAATTATGTGTCCATTTCTTGTCTTTACATTTTGTATAATTCTGTAAGTTAAGAGTGGGACGTTTACAAATTACTGTTCATTACTTCTAATTCATTTTTATAGATTTTCAATTCACAATTTCATGCTGAAAACTGCGAAAAAAATATTCAATCTTCATGTTAATCATTTTGATGAGTGTCTGGAACGAATGAAATACTTTAATTTATCATTTCATCTGAAGGGAAAACGTGTTTCAATTTACAAAAATTCTACGTAAGGAAATTCATCCGGGGACGTATAACGTATTTCAGTTTCTTCATGCGGGGACTCACTCAATTTTTTTTTTCTTGCTGTCTGAAGTCTGGGAAGTAAAAAAAAAAGAGCGTTTCCTCACGCTAATTTCTGCTTTACACGAACAAAGATTGAATTTGTGAATTATTAATCTGTCTTGAGCTTCTCTGCAACGCTTATTTGCTATTACAATTGAACCTCGATAACTCGAACTTCCCCATGTCGAACTTATTTTCACGTCTCCTATCTGAATCCGCATTCCTTCCAAAAACAATGCATTAAAAAACCTTCCAAACTTTTGAAGGCTTTCCTCCTCAAACTTCCCACGAATCGAATTTTCTGGAGGCCTTCTGTTATTACTGTATTTTATTGACACAGGAAATGAAATAGCAATGTGAATTCAACGGTGTGTTTTAAAAGGAAGTGAAAGAAATACTTTGCAAATGCTGTATACTGTATATCGTTGCCTACAACTTCAGCATCCTCTCAACTCATTCAGGAAGTAATTTAAGGCCCAGAATATTGAGTACAATTTCCTCTAATTCATCTTTCTTCCTCCCCAGCAAGAATGCATGTTTCCCTTTCTCGAAACTATCCGTAAGTCGGATTTTTGTGTGGATCCCTCGAAGTCCGACTTGAAGAGGTTCGATTGTAATTTCTGAAAATGAAAATAAATCTAGTACTGTAAACGGAACTTGAAAGGGGATTTATGAACGTAGAACTACCTTGTTTTTCGATTTACTTGCACTCCTACCACTGCTTAGCACGTCGCATCAGAGATAGCTCTGGTGGACGTGGCCGAGGACCGGTTGAAGGGCGAGATGATGGACTTGCAGCACGGACTGTCCTTTCTGCGCAACGTGCGAGTGAACGCGTCCACGGACTACGCCATCACGGCCGGGTCCCGGATCTGCGTCATCACCGCCGGTGCTCGGCAACTGGAGGGCGAGTCCCGACTCAATCTCGTCCAGCGCAACGTGGACATTCTCAAGCATATCGTGCCCAAGCTTGTGCACCATTCCCCCGATACGATCCTTCTCGTGGTGTCCAATCCCGGCAAGTACAGTACAGTACAGTACTGTATAACTAACTTACAGTGACTGTATTCCCACGTCTACTGATTCCGTTGGGTGTACAGTCAGTACAGTACATGGAAGGATTGTTTCGAATGCCCCGCGCGGACGTGGGTACGGTATATGTTTCTGCGACATTTCAGGGGTCGTCGAAACTTAATTTTTCAACTACAGTGGGGCCTTGAGCAATGAATCCCTTCCGTTTTGATGGTTGGTTCGTTGTTCGAGGCGTTCTTTATTTACGACACAACTTCCCGTAGTAACCGATGGGAAATCTCTTGATTGCGTCCAGAGCAAAAAGACATGCGAGTAAAATGAAGAAAATGAGCATGCAAAATTCAGAAACAGACAAGAGCAGTTTAGCGATTTGTTAGCTTTTAATAGGAAATCATCAAAACACGCAAAATTTGAATTGACAGGTGCAGTAATTCCAATTCACTCAAGATTTTAATTCCTCTTCAAATGCATTTCTTTTATTCCGATTTTTCTTTCCCATTTAGGAATTTAATGTCGTGAAATACTGAAATCTTAGAATTTTCTCTGTTTTAGTGACGTTGGTTTCGATTCGCTATATGTTCTAGAAATGATTGCGTGGGATTGGAACGAGCCTCCTGCTTATACGCGGGGTTCTAAGAATTTCTTGCGAATTCTTTGTCTAATTACGACGAAGAATCTGATGGTTTTGGTACTTTTGGGTACAGTAATTTTATAAGTTACTGATCTCAAGCACATGGTGTACTTTTTGCAGTAAATGTACGATCAGCAATTGAAGGGGTTTCGATAGTCGAAATATTCATGAACGAGTACGATGTATTTTTGGTAGTCGTTGGAATCGTGAAGTTAATGTTGATCAATTCTGTAATTCGATGAACTGAACGGCATTCACCCAATGTTCAGAGTCAATGGTTGTTCGTTAGTTTTAAGTTGATTTTTCGGTTTACGGCCCGAAAAAATAATGACCGTAAGGTTTCTCACAGTCGATATCCTCACGTTTGTTGCGTGGAAATTGAGCGGACTCCCGAAAAACCGAGTTATTGGGTCAGGAACGAACTTGGATTCCTCCAGATTCAGGTTCCTCATGAGCGAAAGGATGCACATTGCCCCGTCCTCTTGCCACGGGTGGATTATTGGCGAACACGGGGATACCAGTGGTGAATATTGCACATCCCCGACCCCGAGTTTCTGTGGCGGTGTTGTTGTTACGGAGAAAACCACCCTAGCTTTTCTTCCCAGTTGATCGCATATCCTGCCTTTTTTTGTGTTGTCTCAATTTTTTTCATTTTTATGCTTTCGTCCAAGTTTCATGGCAAATGAGGGATAACCATTGCATGATCGCAAATTCCCAAGTACAGTACAAATAATGTACTGTACAATTTTTAGCGATCTTGCACACGTATCTGATTTAAGTTGACGGATAAACTATCGCATCGAAACTGCTTTGATTTGGCATAAAAAGTTACTTCTACAGTATCTAGGAGCGATAATCGAGTTTGAAAATACTGTATTTTTACTGTTGCAGCCACTAAACTGTTGGTTATTTTGTCTTAAAGCGAGGACTTCATTGATGAGAACCGTTCTTCTTGGTTATACAGCACTGTAAAACCACCGAACTGATGTTCGTTTGTGCGCTAACGTCAGGACTTCATTAATGAGAACCGGTCTCTATTTTGTTTCTTGGGAGAGTGTATGAATATATAAGATGATGGTTTTGCTTACTGAAAACCGTTTGAATTGAAGAAAACCGTCCCGATCAAGTTTTATAGTCCTTATGATCAATCCAATTGTATAATTTGCAGTATTTAACAAATGAGCTCAACTAATCTGGAAATGTTTTTTTTTTTCTTAAGGTTAGCCAGTTCAAGGTTGCCTTACTGTACATCCGTGGTGCAGCATTTCATTTCATTGTCATTTTTATGTCATGCATACAGAACAAATTTCGTTAGAGCGAAGCAATTGGGACGAGGCAAATCGCTTCGGTATAAATAAAATGGGATACCATTGTAGGTATTCGGCAGTGACCTAGAAATAAAAGAATTATTTGTGATAGATTAATCGTTATAAAAATATGTTGTACAAATGTACATGAAACAAGCGACGTTTTTTAAAATCGCTATTCCGTTTCTCAGGTTGAGTTTTTCTTGTGCCCCTTTCCCCTGGTGAACTACACTATCAGACTTCTGTTCGTGCAAATATTTATTGTACATCGAACTGAGGAAGCCGGGTGGTCCTAAATAGCAGCAACACTGCCGCAATTCTTTTCGAAATGATTGTGCGATTAGAATAGACTTGCCTAACTATTCAATGTGTTCGAATGATATCCAGTTCCGGTATGGTCGGGCGTGAATATTGCGGGGGTAAAATTATCCGACTTGAACCCGAAGATCGGATGCGCTGACGATCCGGAAAATTTTGCAGCGTTGCACAAGGAAGTTGTTGAAAGGTACGTTGAACCTAGGGTTTCAATCCGACCCCGATATTATACCGAAGGAAAAAAAAAATACTGAATCGTTCCAGTGCGTACAACATCATCAAGTACAAGGGCTATACTTCTTGGGCCATTGGAACCAGCGTTTCGGTCTTGTGCAACGCGATCTTGAGCAACCAGCACAGTTGCTACGCCGTTTCTACTCTCATAAATGTACGATTATTATTTTTGCATTGACATTACGAGGGATGCTCCGAACATTTTGGCATTCTCTTCACGACATATCTATGTCTCAGCGCTTGCAAAAAAGCAATCTCCACGAACTCACTTGAATTATTTACGCGAACATGGGACGCCATTGATTCCGAATGGGCCTAGAACTTTTTTACTTTTCGAATAGAAAAAAAATGTACATGCGAATATAAGACGCAATGTCACTTGCTGCGCGAAATTCTAGAAATTATCTAGTGATGAACGAAAAATTGCACCCAACATCAATTCAGTTTCATCTTCCGAACTTTTTAGAATAGCCTGGCTTCCTTTCAAGTCAAATTAACGCTTGAAATATAATATCCACAAACCACAAGTTTACATTGATAAAAGCATACAAGGGACATACTGAAATTTTAACTTGGAACTTCTGGTTTCTTCATTTTTAAAATTATGCTTTAAACCTGAACTCGCTGACTGAATGAGTCGTTGATGTCCTGTCATTTTAAGGGTTCAAAGTTCTTCGACCAGCCCATGAAATCGCATTTTACGTCTTGAAAAAAAAAAATATATATATATATATACAGTAGTATATTAATTCCTCAATTTTATGGCATAGTCCTGTTATTATTTTTTTTTAACATACAATTGTTCGGAAAAACTAAATGTACTGTAACGTATTTTCTTTAATTTGAAACGCATTTCTTCGTTTACGCAGAATTACTCTAAAAATGAGGACTTGTCGCAAAAATCGATCGAGTTTCAGTCGTGGGCTCAAGTGAAGAAATGCCTCTGGCAACATAATACGTCGTGTATACTGAATAAAAGTTCGTTTAGAATTAAGTTCAATTTTGGAAATGTGCAATACGATCTCTATGTCGCGGGTGTGGGATTTAGCAATAGAAGTGTTCGAGAAGATTAGGCTGGTTTATTTTGAGCAGAAGTAGAATCAACGAACTCCATTTACCAAGATGAAAATACATTTCATGAATGCGTCATAAATTTTTCGGCAACATCTGTTACCTTTTTTGAAGAGAGAAAAAAAAAACAGGTTTGAATAATCATCAGTGAACACCACGCTTGCTGTTGAAAACGGGAATTTTCTCCCGGTCGGTCAACTACAGAAAAAATGTTCGGGCATCTCTCGCTATCTTCTTAGCATAAAAAGGGATTTCTTAACACAATTCTTCTATAGGGGCACCATGGAATCGACAAAGACGTATTCTTGTCACTCCCGTGTGTTCTTGGCGAAAACGGAGTGAACTTCATCGTGCGGCAGAATCTCTCAGATTCTGAGAAAAATCAACTGAAAAAGTCTGCGGATACGATGGACAAGGTGCAAGAGGGAATTAAGTGGTAGATGCTTTTGTTCGCGCTTGAAACGCTGACAAATTGAAAATCAATCGCGGAAGACGAAAGTCTCGGCGTTTTTGTTTCCCTCCATGTGCTATCATAAACCTTACATGTGCTTTCCGAAAACAGGTTGTTAGGGATTGAGTCTTTGTGCGGCTTTCAATCGTGGAATACGCAATCGTTACCCGTGAATCAAATTGAATGATGATGATTGTTCTTTCCGAACGGGGAATTATGGGAGTAGATAATAAAACTGAAACATACAGTCTATTGAACCGAAATTTTTTACTTTCGTGTCTTTGAGATTGCATGGTTTTGTTTTGTTTTTTTTTGCATGGGGGAGCATGTTTCCAGAAAACTGTCCCTTGGTTGATGATTGGTCGATGAACAATATTTCTCGAATGAAGTTACGCCGGTATTTTCATGAAACCCGATGAACCCGTGTGCAGCACGTGATCAAATCATGCGAAGAAATGTGCGAGGCTTGCTGGGTTTTCTGCGTGAATTGATTTAATTTATGATGAAATTTTCAATATCAAATTCGTTTTTAAAAGCGTGATCGCAAATCGCGTTGGTATCCGAAATTCGTAGGGGGGGGGTTTCTTTTGTATTCAGTAGTTTAAAAATTTGTTCCTAATTTCGCGTCGTAGAAACACTTTTTTTGCATATTTTTCTTTATTTAAAAATACCACGCTGAACTGCAATCTTTGAACATCTGGTGCATCTGAGCGCTTTCCGAGTCCGCGAAAAATTTCGGCTGACGGAGAAAACGTGATGAATGAATCAACGAAAGGATTTCTCGTTTTGAGTCGGTGGACCGTGACACGAATTCATCATGAAGACAGCTATAAAAGACCCACATGACAGGAGAAGGCGAATGCGAAAGAATGAAAAGAAGAAAGAGAAAAAAAACAACAGTCGGGAAGTGTGTGCTTTCGTGTGCATGTAAATGCTTCAAATTATTTACTCGCCATTATTGAACGTTGATTGGCTTCCGTCTCTCTCCGTGTTGTTCCGAATATTCGCGACTACTTGTTTCCGTTTGCTTATCGATGATCAGTTGTAATGCCGCTTAAATGCTTTTTCAGATGGAATTTCTCGAGAGGCCAAAATTATTATTTTGATGTGTTCCGCTGTTGGAAAACTGGAAAAAAATAAGTCAAAAATAGTCTTCAGGTCAAACAGAGAAAATAGACGTGGGATTTTGTCCATTTCTCTAACTTTCATTAAAAGTCTAGCATATTATCTCGATTCTCCTGGGATGATGGATGTTTTTCGTTGTTTTCTGCTTTCCTTCAGAAATGTAAAACGCAAAGCAGCTTCGCTCTATTGTGTGGCGTTACTTCTGTCGTTAATATGCGAAATCGATTTCTTCCGGAATTGTTCGCTATAATTTAATTTCAAGAATGTGTTATTATTCAATACTCCCTAATCCGGCACGCTCGAATGGGTCTGTGATTATGGACATTATGAGAGGAGCCATAATCATGATTCATCGCTGATGAAAGGGCGTTCCCCGCAACAGCCCGTAATGTTGGATACGTTGCAACAGGAGTGTCCAACCCTGAGGCCATGGAAATGTGTTGAGGGAAAAAAGGCAAAGGATGATGGCAATTTTCAGCGTGGAGCACCGTCCATACGTTCATGCAATGAAATGACAATCCAGTTTTTGTGTTCTCTACAACAGTGTTCCCCAACCTTTTTGGGCCCACGGACCGGCAAATTTCCATAAAATCTTGTGCGGACCGGCAAAGCTTTGTAACATTTTTGCTTACTGAAAATAGCTTTGACTGAAATACTTCATGGCAGGTATTATAAAAGTGTCCGCTTTTTTGCAAAAAAAAAATCAAGTGAGAACCAATGAAGCAAGTACAGATAGCGAAAATGTCTTCAAGAAATGAGAAAGGTGGGCGTGAGCAAGAATTTCTCGGAATGAAAAAGTGAAATAATTTATTTCATTACTTTACGATTTGTCTGAAGCGTTAGTAAGAGGAAAGCCACCTTCTATTTTTCATGAGATCATTTTAACTGCAATTGCCTTGCGAAAATTTCAGACAAAGATACTGTAATGTCCTTCATTGATAGTTTTGTTACATTTGTTATGCTTGAGAAAATTTCCCGCGCCGTTCCGTGGACCATTGGTTGGGGAACACCGCTCTACAACGCCATATTTGGATGAAGTAAAGTCTCCGCAGTAAAGCAGGACATTTTTGTTTGTCCCTTCTGAGTTCAAATTTTAGTCGTTGGAGGCGCTTTATGCGACATACCAGCAATTCACTGAATACAGTTAACTAAAATTGCTGAAGGAGATGAGACGATGCTTCTGATGAAAAGCTCGAAAATCGTTTTTTGTTTGTTTGTTGTATCCCAGGAAAATGCGCGTTAACTTGAAAAATAAATTAACAATGAGCCGTATCTTGGAATATTTAATCATGCTGCGGGAGTCTCAGGATGAGTTTAAAATTGTTTTCACGTGAGCCATCTAAGGGAAAACTAGATAGGGAAAGAATGTAGCTCTTAATATGCCAAATCGTTTATGGACCTGTGCCTCATCAATACATGTAGCTTTGCGTAGCTCTGTATTTTGGGAAATGCGGTTGCCAAGAGTTACGCGAAATGCCCCGACTGGCCAACTGAGCGAAGCACACCCGACTTCTGGATCATTTAATGTATTATGTCATCTTGGAGCAACGCTGCTTATGAAAGAATGTCGCTTAAGCATAAAGTCCAGGGACGGGTAGTCAGTATTACAGTAAGCTCGAACAAATGTATCTTACAAAGCAAAATTGCTCCCTGCAGTATTTTACCGAGTCTCATGGCTTCGTTGTGACGAGATTTTACTGTACCAATTCTGCGTGTATAGTATAATTATTCCTAGAAAAACTTGATTACCTCTTGAAAAACTTGCTATTTTAAAATTATTTTAGTCGAAGAAATTTTCCTCTGCCTGTTCTTACAGTTCGAAATGTGTAACCCGTAATGTACCGTATTTACTCGAGTACCACGCGCCCTCAAGTAAGGTGCGCACAGGCTTTTTTCAGTTGGAAATTTGGCTAAAATTGTATCCCCGAGTATGACTCGCATCCCAATTTTTAGTAAATCTAAAACCACACAATTTAGAAAAAAGAAACAAAAAGTTTGACTTTAGACGTGAATTTAACAAAAATCTGACCAATTTTCAACTTTTTCAGTACAAAAAAGTTTTCTTGTCACTTTTTTTCCGAATTTCTCCATTATGATTAAGTATAATGCACATAGAACTTTCTAAAAATTCTTCAAAAATTTGTACCCGCTTATGACGCGCACCCCTTTTTTTCTTCTGAAATTCGAGAAAAAAGGTGCGCGTGGTACTCGAGTAAATATGGGTATTTTTACGCATTTTAAATGGAGGCTGATCTCCATGAAATGGCGGTGTGTTGAAAACGTTTTGAATAGACGCCAAAGAACGATTATTTTAATATAACTATTTGTGAACTTTCTCAGCAACGATTTTCTTCGTATAATGCATTTTTGTGGCCCTCTGGGGTTGTCTCCACATGCTGAAATAGTTCTGTTCAACGAAATTATTTCTGGTCCCTTGAATTCCGTTGTAAGAGTCCAATTGTAGTAATAATAATGCCCACTCTGCAACATTGATGCTTTATTTTTGTTTAATATTTCCCATCATTGACAGGAGGTTGAAGTTATTGAACACAGTATTTAGTCGTCATCGATTGGGAAAAAAAAATGTGATGGTCTGGTGTGTAATTCTCAGTTGGACTTGGCCATGCATCTCGCCATGAGGCGATAGCTTGCATTCTAGTGGGGGCTATTTGGAGAAAGGTTGGACACTCCTTAGACGCGGGCCAGGACCCTTGTGTGCATATGTCCCTTTAGGTAGGAAATGTGAGGTGGGATAAACAAACCCAAAAGGGAAAGCTAGTGGCTGACGGGGGTAAACCCCCCATCCTATTGCGACCCGTTCACAGAAGGTGTCCCTGGTGAAGCCCGGCTCGCACGTGTGGACTGGCCTGACGGTCCTTGGGCGCCGGCGCTACTTCTGCGGGTTTTGCGGGAAAACCATGCTCACGAAGGTGGGCGTGATGGACCACGTGCGGGTGCACACGCGGACTCGGCCGTTTGTTTGCACGGCGTGCGGGTCGCGGTTCACGCAGCTCTCGTCGTTGCGTCGGCATCGTCGCCGCGTCCACAACGCGTCCCCGCCGCCGCCGTCGTTGCCTCCGCCGCCTCCACCGACGTCGTCGTCGTCGTCGCATCACCACCACCCACACCACTTGCAACACCGCCAACATCATCAGGAGTCGACCGGCGAGCTGGTCAAGTACAAGACTGAGTCCAAGCACGATTCCTCTTCGGACTAGAGAACGAGAGGAAGAAAAATCATGAAATCGTGCCCTTGACTCCAACACAAGAGAGGGAAATCGCAAAATCGGGGGGTGATTTGATGAAAATACTGTATGGGGAGAAAGCCCGAGTCGTTTGAAGACAACACCGCAACAGTTTCGCGTGCACCATTTTTCTATTATTCGAACTTTTTTCTCCTTTTTTTTCCATGGTAAAGGGGTCCTGTTTTGTGTGTTCGAATATGTTAAGCATGAGCTTTTACGATTTAATTCTATGATTTGAATATTTGGTCGGCGAAATCTTTTGCAGCTTAGCTAACGAAACGGCGGTTCAAGTGAAACGCCATCAACCGGGCAGAATACGGAGTTAATTTATCAAAGCATGCCGAATATATTTACAGTACAGTATATACAATATTCTTTCTACTAGTCCAGAGGTTCTCAATCGGTTTTCCGGTGCCCCGTAGCCTTTCCATGGAAATACGAGTGAGGAAGTAGATAGAAAGAGAGAGATTGAAGCAAGTAGAATTGAAATTGATTTTCGTGAATGCTCGGAGATTTCATGGGTTCTAGAATCGATACCCTAAAAACCGTCGGGACTTCGATTCGCGAGATCCTAAAATTTATTTAATATAACGGGCCCCGTCATAGATATTGATCCTAGAAAGGTTGGGAACCTCTGACCGGTCTGTTGGAATCCGTCGTTTTCAAGAAAGTCGTGCACTGTATACAATTTTAGAGAAATGAATGCCTTTTTCGTATCTCATCGTTGGCTTCTTGGAGTGATTAAAAAAGGCAAAGGCTATCGAAAAAGAAAAAAAAATCCGGGAACAACTCGTTCGGGATTTCTGCTCGTCGCACAAAAATCAAAATGCGGTCTTGAACATTTCAAAACATAACCCCTCAAGCTTTGCGACGAATGAACCAGGGATTTTATT